TGTTTTTTGATACTGTTGTTTATAATTGGAAGTAATTGCTAAGGAATTAGATGCTTAACAGTTACAGCAATGTTGGAAAGATTAGCTCAGACTTAAATAAGTAAATTGCAGGTTTTAAGAAGAACAAATTAGGGGGAAAGCATGGAATTTTAGAAAAAATATCAAATGTATAAGTATCTGCCATGCCAGGCAACAAACTGAAAAAAGCATCTGCAGATTATGGAGAACAAGGCTCTAACAGGCCATGACAGAAAATATAACATTGTGATTATGTAAATTTTAAGACATTACTTAATTTTATGTAGAATAAGCTAAACTAAGTTATATGTAGTTGTCTGCAGAGAACAAAGAAACACAACATGGTGGAAAATTGGGAAAGGTATGTCAGCGTTGTATGTCTCCTTTCTCCATACCTACTTAACCTGGATGTTGAACAGATAATTCCAGAAGCTAGACTATCTGAAGAAGAAGGGTACATCAATATTGGAGGAAGACTCACCAACAGCCTGTATTATGCTAATGATACAACCTCGCTGGCAGAAAGTAAAAAAAAGATATGAATCACTTACTGCAGTGATCAAAGGTTATAGCCTTCAATATGTGTGATAGCTCAGTGCCAAGAAAAGAAAAATCCTCACTAAATCAAAAGGAAACCTTGTGATAGATGGAGAAAATGTTGATGTTGTCAATGATTTATTTTACCGGGTCCACAATCCACATAGAAGCAGCATTCAAGAAATCAAAAGACATGCTATATTAGGAAAAAAGAAGAAAAAAATAGCTGTATAGGACCTTCCAAAGCATCTAAAAGCAATGCCAGTTTAAAGACTAAGGTGTGTCTGATATAAACCAAGGTATTTTCAACTAGTTCCTACGCATCTGAAAGTTGGACAGCGAGTAAGGAAGACCAAAGATGCCTTTGAATTGTGGTGCTGCAAAGAGTACGGAATCAACTGGAGAAGAACAAATAAATCTGTCTCGGAGGAAGAGCAACCAGCATACTTCTTGTAGGCAAGGATAGGGAAACTTTGTCTTACAGATTTGGGGAATGTTATCGGGAGGGGTCAGTCCTTAGAAAAGACGTCATAGTGGGAAAGAGTGTTGGTGGAAGAGAGAAAGAACCTCCAAGAGATGGATTGACATAGTGACTGCAACAGTGGGCCCAAACATGCAGAGAATGAGAGGACGGCACAGGAAGGGCAAGCTGTTCATAGGGTTTTTCATAGGCTTGCTCTGAGTGGCACCTAGTAGCAACAACAATATGCCACAGGACTAATTATGCACAAGGCAAGTCAGACTTTTTTCTTGCTTCTTGTTACATTAAAATGTGGTCATAAAGTAGAAAATCAAGTTAGTTAGAAAGGACGAGTCCAACCAAGAGTTCAAGGAGACAGAAAGTGATCAATTCTATGAAGGAGTGAAGTAGTACTTAGCACATTACGTAGCTTCTCTACTCTATTTAGCTAGAAGCAGCCACCTAAGCCACAATGAAGAGGGTGCTGCTGTTACTACCACCACCAGCGGTTGCTTTTGAGGCTTTCTGATGCAAGCACACCTTATGTGTGTGGAGTATGGCTGTGCTCCAGAGTCTGCAGTAGCTGAGTTTCTGGAATTACATCTCCAACCCTAGTATGTGAGGCATCTCTTGGTGGGATAAAATCTCCAACCTTTAGTTAGCTGCTGAGCACGTTAACCACTTGTAGCACCCAGAAATTTAAAAGAAGAAGGGGGAAAAAAACCCTACCCTAAATTAAAAACACACACCCACACACAAGTCCACCTCATTGTCTTCCAGTCGGTTCTAACTCACAGGGAGCTTCCACCAGGTTTCCGAGGCTAGAAATCACAACAGAAGGAGACTCACTGCCCGTGTATCTCCCACGGAGCGGCTGGTGGATCCACATCACTGGAGAGGTGCAACCCACTGTTTCTGTACCACCCGAGCTGCCTACCCTGAGACTCACTCAGCTCGATGCTGTGGAGTTGGAATAGACTCCTAGCAGACCTTTCAGAGTTTCTGAGGCTTTAGCTCACACAGGAGGAAATAACCTATTTTATTCCTGCAGAGGCACTGGTGGATTCTAACCACCAGAAAGGCATGGCCTTTGGTCTAGTGGCACTATGAACGAGACTCCTAGAGTTCCCTTACCCCGGGAATAGAAGAGTGTATTGGGGTAGATCGTTTGGACACAGTCCTTTGCTTTCATGGCCTGGTGGTAACAAAATGATGATCCCAGCGTATATGCTCAGCATGACAAGGAGTGCCACGTGTCATATTTCTAACCATGCAAACGTATAGCCTCCTCTCTGAGCAAATGAATATCAAATCTACCCAATTATAGTTTCTATTCAACAAATATTTACTTGCCATGCCAGTCATTGTTAAACATTTCAAACACATTATTTCACTGATTCTTCATAAAGGCAATGCAAGGAAGGGGGCATTAGTGCTTACAGTCACATACTTTTGATATCATTTTATATCACTCAAACATGAGTTTGAATCCCAGCTCCACTGCTTGCTAGTAAATTTAGATAAAGTATAAACATCTCTGGATTTTAGAATTTACATCTGTACGTTGGAGACTGGTAAGGATAACGCACAGTGAGATGTTTACCAGAGTTCACAAGGCTGTTTAAAGGATCAACATATTTTGGCTCTCAGAAATACCCTCAGTATACAGATGACAGAACAGAGACTTGGAGAAGTCACAAAAACGTAGATGAGATCACATACTTGGCAAGTGGTAAAACTAGAACTTGAATTTGTGTCTGTGCACCTCCGGAATCAATTGTTTACATCTGTACAATGTACTACTCTAACGTAAGTTATTATTTTATCCAATGGATTAATGGTGACTGTAAAAGTTCCTGTTTGATGATGAGAAAAAGAGAAATCTATCCACAGAAGGATGGTGTTTATATTTTTTCTCAAAATAATCATCTTGCAAGGTATTAAGGGTTGAGACTTTTAACAACCTTTAGACCAGTAAAGGATCCTACATGGCTCAGGAAAGGCCTAGTTAACTTCCTTTTTAGTTTCCTGCTTCCTGGAAGGTCTTCTGAAGTGTCTTTGGGAGGGCCTTGTTAAGGGGCTCAAAATGGACTCTGAGTCCAGCGTTAGGACCTCTTGGCTTCCACCTGGGTCTTGAGTGTCTCTGTAAGTTTTCTTTACTATATGAGTTCTTAACATTGCTAGCTTTCATTTCATACTTGTCAATCCAAAGTGACAAAACAGGCATTATGTTTAGGCTTTAACAACAGCACATCTTTTTAAATTCTCCAACAGGTTTATTTATTTTGCATTAAATTTACAACTCTCTTGAATTTTTAGTAACACGTCTCTGCATTTCTCCCCACTCTCCAAGATCTGCAGAATATTCATGGCAAAACAAAACAACCGCCAGTCTCCCCAAAACTGCAGTCTTTTTCTAGGAGACACATCCTCCCCTCCTCCATAACTGAAGAATGGAAGAAAAGATAATCTCCATGATTTACACTGGAAGGAAATTTCCTTGGGAAACTCAGATTTAAGCAGGTCTGCACATGCTTCGTTTTGTTTGGAGATCAGTATTTAATTTAGAAATGCCTTGAGAGCTAAGATTTCTAATATCTTTTAGGCTAATTAAGTGAGGATCTCTTAAGGCTTAAGAAAGACCCAGTTACCGTATCTCTTTTCAGTTCATTTGGTGCACGAAAAGCTATTGCATTTGCATTAAAAGCTACAAAGTTTCCGGGGCAGCAAAAGCCTGCAAGGTGTAGGGGGATGTGAGCTGCCTGAAGCTTTGCAACACTCAAGTGCAGCTTGCAGAGGACAAGTAGCAAGATGAGGCTTTCCTTTTATGGGGAGAAGAAGGCTTAGACTCTCACTTGGCAAAGCTGATTCATTAGAAAAAGAAGATTCCCTCGGTTTAAATCCAAATTTCTAAATCTCTCTTGGGAGATAAAGGCGCTCCCTGTGTGCCTTTCACAATCAAACTGTTGGTTATATAGCCTCTCCCCTCCATGGCTTTGAAATCCTCTCCTATTCACAGGGTCACAAGGAGACAGCCCTGGGCAGGCATGGCAATCGCTTCCTGGGCTCTGTGCTGGCTGTGTTCCGCTGGGCGGAAGGGCTGCCCTGGGATTCACAAAATGCCCACCACTTGGCTGAACAACAGTCCAACGCAATGTCCCTGTCCCCAGATAGCCTCTTGCTACATTAATTGCATCATTGATGCATTAAAAAAAATTAAGTGGCCTTTTTATTCGCTAGCAACTATTTGAAGGCGCAGATATGCAAGACCAGACTTTGTGACTCTTACCGATAACACCGCTTTAATTTGCATTTCCAGTTGTCGTTCTTCTGAGCAAGGAGAGGCATAGTTCTCTTGTGTGAAGAACTATGCTCTAGATTTTTAGTGTATCATTTGCTAAAAAAGGACTCAATAGATTCCTTCCCCCCATAAAAGTCTTAAAAGGAAATTGCTAGTTCCATATTTTGATTAGTCTCCAAAACATTGTTTGCCTTTGCATAAGAGAGAAACGGTTTGACTTAGTTAAATGGAAACGAAACAGTACACAAAAAAACCTCATAAGATCGCATTTCAACAAATAGTTAATGAACAGCCACGGAATTAATTTGCCTTGTCCTGCTAACAGCTGCAGCCTGAGCCCCACGCTCGTAATGTAAAGAGACAAGTGCATTTGACTAGAGTGCGCACACCTGCATACCTTCCCAACCTGCATGGAGCGTGGCCAGGTGCTGGCTGACAAATGCCCGGGGTCTGTATCACGGGGCATCCGCCTAGTGTTTAGGCAGGCTGCAAGGACCTGGGGAATCCCCACCCCTGTGTGCAGATTTCACATCATCAGCTGAAGGCAGATCTGGAACAAAGCCTTGTGTGTGTGTGATCCTGACAGACAGGACAGATGTACAATGACTATGAGAGCCAGGACAACTGAGATCACGAATGTGGATGGGTCTCAGCCTGGGAGGAAAGAAGCGTCTTGGCACCAACCTGGAAGATGAGCACTTTGAAATGGTTGCGTCTGAGGAGCTGGGCGTGGTTGCTCTCCAGCCGCTTCACCTGTGCGCTCTGCTGCTCCATGCGCTCCTTGACCGCCCGGGTGTGGGCACTGACCTTGCGAGACTTTTCCAGAAGCTTGCTGACTGTGTTGCTGGTGGAGGCCTGGTACTTAGAGAGCTTGTTGAGATCGTTCTGGATACCCTTCACAGAGCCCTCCAGGCTGATCTGCCGCTGCTCCATTTTGTGCTGGTTCTCCTGCACGGCTTCCAGCATGTTCACCAACTTGTCCAGGAGGGTGAGCACGGTAACGGCGTTCACCTGTGAGTTGTCCCGGATGGCGTCCTCCGTGCTGCCCAGGTTCAGGCTGGGGCTGGGCGTGGAGGAGGGTGCTGGGCTGGGGTTCGACGGCTTCTCCTGCCGCATGTTAGAACCCGGCTGCTGGAGTTTTTCAGCCTGTGCAGCGTCCTCTCCCATGACTGGACAGGTGGACACCTTTTGCCCGGCTGGGAGCGCCTCGGGAGCAGTAGAGCGAGGCCCACTGTGGGAACTTAGAGCCCGTTCTCCAGGGCTGGCAGACAAGCAGTGACTGGCTACACTGATCCAGAGAACTGCATTCCAGCTGCTCTTAAAGGTCTACTCCACCCAGTGGGAGGTGAAGGCTGAAGAACCCAGAACCACTCAGAGTTCAGAAGCTTTGCAAACACTTCCTAACTCTTCCCCTCTACGCGGGGCACTTTGCTGCAGGTCTAGCTTTTCTTTCCTGCCCCCTCTTCCCTTTTTAAAACAAGTTCAATGTCATATTTCAATCATGACTTCATCTAGAGGCGGAGAAAAACATGCTAACTTGGCCCAGCTCCACAGCCTGCCATTGGCTAAAGCGTGTAAACTTTTCGCCGGCTGCTATGCTACAGATGCAACAGAGAGCCTGCTTCCCCCCCCGGATACAAGTTATTGTAACGGAAAGTACTGTTTGCATTTGCCCTAGCACTGACTGATGGGCCGCAGAATGCTATGTCCTACGGGGAGGGGCAGGGGTTAGAGAGCACTTGCGGCCAAGTATGTGCTATGAGGTCCCCTTTCCAAAGGAGTGGAAGTAACCCTGACAGTGGCAAGGAAAATAGCCGGGTGATTCTTATTGTTTCAGTTACGGATGCAAAGTCAAGTGAAATAGACTGAACGTCATGGATCTGTCAAAATAAGCAAGGCAGTTGTTGTTGTTATGTGGCTCAAGTTGTCTGCGACTCATAGCAGCCCTATATATAAGAGCTCTAAACCCTGCCCCAACCTGAGCCAATCTCACCCTCTCTGACAGACCTACTCTGACTTCAATCCCACTTCTCCAGTAACTAAGTCAATCCATCTCATCCAGAGTCGTCTTTTCCTGCCCTGTCCTTCCATCCTTCCAAGCATGATGTCCTTCTCCAAGGACTGGTCCCACCTGGCCATGTGGCCAAAGTTTGTGAAAGAGAGCTTCAAAATCCTTGCCTCCAGGGAGCAGCTTGGTTTCAATCTCTCAAGGACTGACCTGTTTGTTCTCCTGGCAATCCATGGTATGTTCAACACTCTTCCCCAGCACCACACTTGTTAAGAACTGGTATTCAACAGAGTATTCCATAGATAGGGAATGACTTTGTTAAAATGTACTTTATTTTGCGGGAACTCTTGTGTCCTACTAGTAAGAAATTGCACTGTGATTCTGAAGGCATGCTGTTCGAGTCCACAAGCTGATTTGGGGGAGAATGATGGGTAAAGTCCTCTGGTGCTAATAACTGCCTCTGAAAACCTGCTGGAGGGTCAGCTATGGGTTGGTTCCAACTCGATGGTACTCAATAACTTTGTTTTGAGTCAGCTATTAGATTGGACAACGAAAATCCAAAGATCTAAAGTTGTTTCCCTTTAAGAATCAACAAAAACTATTTTTGGAGTTCATCTTGAGTTAGTGCTGCGACGTTTTCTCAAATGTCCACATCTGCAAGGCAGTTATTGATAACTCTCAGAAATACACCTGCCGGACAAGGTGAATTGGAGTTTCTGAAGCACTTTTAATGGTTGACATTTCCAAATTCCTGCTCAGTGAAGTGGCACACCTCTTCTAAAACATGGACCTCCTTGGCTGAGCCCTTGGGATGTGGGGCTTATTTCCTAAAATGACTTTACATGCTTGAGTTGGTTTTAAATGTATCCAGCCTCTGAAAGCACTTTCAGCAGGAAGTTTTTAATAGGCCTTCTATGAACAGTTTTGAGATCAACAGTGCCAGCTCATATGGGGTAAGGGCTTGATAATGGAAGGGTGCCCTCCTTCAATGGCAAAATATCCACATGGGCCAATCAACCAAGCAGCCAGTCAGCCTCCCACTTCTTGAGTGTGTGAGTTACCACTATCTGCTCAGTCTTACACTTGGCACACTATCTGGAAGAAGTATGAACACTCTCTTATTGCCAGTGATTTTGAGCAATTTCTTCAGTGTCTCTTGGCCACCAGATGTCTTCCTCAGTGAAAAGTCTTTCCATGTCACTTGCCAATTTTGTAATTAGATTATCAGTCTTTTTTCTTTTGGAGGCTAAGGAGTATTCTGTAACTTTTGTTATGAGGCCCCCGACTGAGATGATATTGACAAATGTTTATTTTCCATCAGTAGATTTTCTTTTCACTCTGTTGAGAAAAGTTTTTGATGAGCTCAGAGATTCAATCTTTAGAAAGTTCCATTCATCAATTTTATGCTTTCCAGATTGTGCATTTCCGGCTGTATTTGTCAGTCTCTTTATACCATAGATTAAACCTTCCAAACTTGGTCCGGTTTGTCTCTTATGAACTTATGGTTTTGGGCTTTGCTCCCAAGTCTCTGATCCACCTTGAGGTGATTTTTGTGTATGGTGTGACATGTGGATCCTGTTTCGGCTTTCTGCAGTCCAATTTTCCCAGCACCGTTTGTTGAAGAGATTGTCATCTTCCTATTTGATAGATTTTATTTCCTTGTCAAATATCAGTTGGCCATAGATAGATGGCTCTATTTCTGGATTCTCAATCCTGTTCCATTGGTCTATGTGCCTGTCACTGTACCAATACCATGCTGTTTTGGTTACTACCACTGTGTAGGAGGTTTTGAGGTCAGGAAATGCTGCCAATTCACCCAGTGGGGAGAATCCTTGTCTTCATGATGCTGAACTTCAATCCATCTTGAAGACTACAGTCTTTGACCTTCTGCAGTAAATGCTAGAGATTCTCCTCAGTTTCAGCATTGAGGTTGTATCATCTGCATAATGCAGGTTGTTGTGAGTCTTCCTCCAATTCTGATACCACATTCCTCTTCATGAAGCCCAGCCTCCCGAATGATCTGTTCTGCATATTCAGATTTGGCATTAGTAATTGGTACATATATTTGACTAACAGTTATGCTAAGTAGTCTTTCATTACTTTTTTTTTATCCCAAGCATAGTAGATATATGACGGTTCTATTCAAAATGATAAAACCCCACCCATTTCTGCTAACTAATGCCTGATATATAAACCTCTATTTGTTCTATTTCATTCTTGACAAATCTCAATGTTCCTAGCTTCTTTCTTTATACATTCCAGTTACTAATGGGTATTTGTAGCTGTTGCTTCTCATTTTGACCCATGCAATATCAGTAAACGCAGGTCCTGAGAGCTGCATTCCATCCTCATCTTTAAAGCTGTCTCTGCTTTGAGAAGACATTTCTTCCTCAGTTGTGTTTAGATTGCTTTCCAATCTGAGAGGCTCATCTTCTGATACCATGTCAGAAACTATTTTGCTGCTATTCGTGAAACTTTCACTGATGAAACGATTTATTCTTTTATTTCAAATGTGGAATATCAGAACCTTATTTTTTGTCTGCCATAGTTTGGAAGCTCTGCTGAAATCTGTTCACCTTATAGTGCCCCTGCTATCAATTGAATTACTGGTTGCCTGTTGCTGCTGGCTTGGTGGGTAAAGAATTGTGCAGCCAACTCAAAGATAGGTGGATCAAAATGACCATCTTCTCTGTGGGAGAAAGATGAGCATTCTTCTCCCATGGGATTTACTGCCTCTTAAAACCATCTGAGGGGACAACTATGAGTCAGTTTTGACTTGCTGATAGATAGTAACAATTTCCATTAGAGGAGGTCTGGTGATCTGGTGAATAAAGAGTTGTGCTGCCAACCTAAAGGTGGGTGGTTCAAATCTACCAGCTGCTCTACAAGATAAAGATAAGCAGTCTCCTCTGGTGTATCTTACAGGCTCTGAAAAACCACTGGAGAGTCATGTAGGAGTCAGTTCTGACACAACTGTCCATACCAAGCTTCCGTTATCATAGCTACACGCAAACTGCCATACTAAGACGAAGTGACTGGTGAAGAGTGAACTCATAAAGTATTTACAGAAAGTTCTCAATCCCTTAGATAATTGGCATCCTTAAAAAGTACCGAAGCAAATCCTTTAAAGATAGAGACTTAAAAAAGGCAGAAAAGAAAATTTGTTGGGAATTTATCTTAAAAAGGTAAGAAAATTATTAATGTCAGTTCACTTTGTATTTCACAAAATTAGTTATGATACATATTAGAACAAAGGTTAAATCTAGTATTGACTTTGAGAAGTATAATTTTCTGAAAAAATTATACAGTATCATGTTAAAATATTCCTTTACATTTGACTTCCAGGAATGAATCATAAAGAAGATCATTACTGCCAAAATATTTGAAAGCTTTATCCAGTTTCTAAGAGCCTTTCCTTTATTTTGACTTTCAAATCATCCCCTTTTTTCATCTGTGTGGATTTTCTCTTCTTCAAACGTGAACTGCTCCAGCCCTCCCTCATTTGTCTTAGGAGTTGTCTGTGATTGAGGACTTTTTATCATTACCTTCATCAACTTCATGATTTCCTGCACATCCCCTCCCCCCGATTTCATGTTATAATCACGTCACACTGATTTTTGCATTGATTCACACTGGTTCTGCATACCACTGGTAGGTGTTGTACAATCAAATAGATGAATGAAGACATGAAAGTGAAAGGCAGAGAAGGTTGCTGTCACACAAGAAACAATTTTGCATGTGGCATTCCTTATTTATTCTTGAAACTAATTTTGGATAATATATGTAGTAGATTAGTTATCTGGTGTGTAACAAATCAGCTCCGAAACTTAGTGGTTTAGCATGACAATCATGATTCTGTGGGTTGACTAAGCAGGGCTCACTTGGAATCAATATGTCATTTCTCCAATAAGCTTGTTCAGGTGCAATTTGGGATGATGTATCTAAAATGACCTTATTCACAAGTCTCGCTCCTCAAAAGGGATTGCTGGAATGCTAAGCCTTCTCTCTCTTCCTAGCCTTTCCCCTGGAAGAACTCTCCCTATCATCTTTCCAATAGGGAAGCAAAATTTCTTTACTTAGTGCCTTAGGGCTGCAAAGTTGTGAAAGCTGAAGTGGCAATATTTCTTAAGACTAGATTTTGGAACTCTCTCACGTCCCT